GGGCGTTCCTCATCGAGGAGGAGAAGATTGTGGCAAAAGTACTGAAAGCACAACAGGCGGCCACTCCTGCCGCCCAGACATCTAAATGAGAGCGTGTTTTGTAATGTATTTTTCGCCGAGAAATTAATTAAATAAACGTTTGGTTTAATTTTGTCAGACATTTGTGTCATTTAATTATAGTTTTATTGATAATTAGTGTTAAATATACGGTAATAACGAATGTTTTTTATTTTAATTCAACGTTTGGATTGCAATCAGTCGGCGCCCCCGAGGGGCTGATAGTATTCACAGTTAGTATTTGTCGGGATATACAGTACTGTATATATAATCTCAATAATAATAACTTTACGGTATATTACAAAAACTTAGTTAAAAATTAGTAAAATTAAAATATAATTTGTTATAAACTAATATACAATTAAAAAATGTATATAAATTAGTTAGAATTGCTATGCTCTTGGTGACTATTTAGTCGGATATTTACAAATTGTTTAACAATTGCTTCATTTTGTGGTTAGTTTTGATAATTTAATTTAAATTAGCATTTCATGTGAAGAGTTATCTGAAAGACTAGAAGTAGTGATCATTAGATGATGTCTATGTTTTGGGATGTGATGCCAGTAGTGGAGGCCGTGGATGAGGCGCCGCCACTACTCTCGCCGCCGCCCGACTCCGATAGACTGATATGACTCTGGAGAGGGGGGAAAGGGATACAACGAATTGTTAATTATATTCAAACTCTAGAGTCGATGCCTAGTAGGCATTGCCTACTCACTGGCTTAGGGCTGGGATGTAGTGTCGTGGTTACGGTGGTCGCGGTGGACGAGTCATCATCACCACCGCCAGCACTGGTAGCTTTCGTGTCCACACTCACCACAGTATCAAACGATTGTTTGGACGCTTTTTTGTTGCCTTTTGTGGCCTTAAGTTTGGTGACAATGAATTGTCCGCCACTTTGCTGCTTCTTCGCCAGGTTTACGAACAACTGATCCATAAAATGGACACAAGAATTAAAAAGTCTGTCAAAACTCTATGTATTAATCAATGATTACATTATCCAAAGTGTTTTGGCAAACAGTGTACTCAGAGATCCCCGACTTCTCCAACTTCTCGAATATATCCGCGAGACTAATGCCGGCGCCGATACTACTGGTCTTCGAGCTGCTACTGGCGCTGTGCTCAGTGTCGATGCTGTCGGTGTCGGCTGAACTGCCGACGCCGTTAGTGTTGCACCGGATCTCGAACTGAAGTATATTGAAGTTGTTCTCCCGGAGCACAGCGTTGGGCAGGTTTTTGGCGAACCAATTAATCATATATGAGGCCGAGATGTTGGGACCGCACCGGGCGATGATGTGATAGCCGTCGCCAAACCGGTTCTTGAGGTGCTGTATTGAGCCGAGACATGTGAACCGGCCGTTCACCATAATGGCCACTCGACTGCACAGGGCTTCGCACTCTTCCATACTATACGGGGGCAACACATTGTAATACAGGTTCTTATGGGAAGTCCTAATCGGGTAATACCTGTGCGAAGTCAATATGACTGAGATCTTGTCGTTGTGGACGAGTTCCAGGATTAGATCCCATAGAAAGCGTCGGGTGTATGGATCCATACCCGTCGTGGGCTCGTCCTATAAAATAGAGTAAAAGTTATAAATAAGATATCAATGATTCTTATTCAACAAACAGATCCATACCATGAATACGATAGGAGGGGCCGATATGAGTGCGATGGCGGCCGAGAGTTTGCGTTTCGTACCGCCGCTGTAATCGCGGGTCAGTTTGTCGGCAAACGCCGTCAACTCCACTCGCCTGAGCACCGTCTCAATAGCCAGTTCCTCGTCCTTAACACCCCTGAGTCGGGCGTAAAACTTCAGGTGCTCTCTGGCCGTCAACTCGTCAAACAGGGCGTCAA